GTCCTGGCGCGGCCCGCATTACCTGGCGGGGCAGGACGCGGCCACCCCGGTGCTCTACTGCACCGCCCCGGCGACACCAGCCCTCGCCGCCGCCATCTTGGGCACCGCCTCAGCTGACGGCGCCACCGGGCGGGCACGTGGGCGGGCACCCACCCATTGGCCGAGCTGAGGCAGAATGTAAATAAACCGCCATTTTTCTTTGGGGTGCCTGACACCGCCCCAGGAACCCGGGCAGCTCAAGCCCCGCCCTCCCTGCTAACCACGCCCATCTCCGCCCACCGACACATCCCTCGGCCACCGCTTACGGCACGCCAGCTCCGCCCCGGGCTCGGGCATCTCGTGGTTCTGATTGGCTTTCGTCCGAAGCTCTGCCTCCTGGCGCGCGGTGGGAGGCTGCGAATGCGTACGTCGTGCACGCCTGTACACACATAGGGAGAGAGAGGTATTCGTATAGGGGTATATACACAGGTGTGTGTGTGTATTTACCCCTTGTATATGTATATATGTATGTATATACCCCTATATGTATACCTCGCTCTCTCACTGTAGGTCTATATAGAGATCTAAGTTACATATATGTTTACCCCTTTGAGAGAGGACAGAAATAGTTTCAAAATAAATAAATCACGTGTTATTTATATGTATTACATACACAAATACATTGTGTCATGTGCACACACGCACACAATTTTAAATACTAATACAAAAATATATAAAAATGTATAGACGCAGCTACAGACACCAGCTTGCCAGGCACTCCCTGGGGGGTGGCGGGGGCCTGCCCACCCTTGCAGCCCCCCTGCCCTCTCTCCCGCGCCAGCTGTCTTATTCGTGAGCCTCCCCGGCGCTGGGATGAGGCGTGCAGGGCCGTGACTCAGCTGCTCGGCTGGGTGGTGCCCAGCTGGTGTTTGGTAGAGATAAGACCCCTGCAACATCCTCCCTTTATTCTGGGGTTTTTGTTTGGTTTTGTCCTGACACACAAACCCAAAACTCCTCTAGGGACTGCTGCGGCGGAGGCAAGCGTAAGAGGCAGAGCGGTGATGACAGAGGAGAAGTGTCCCAAAGTAAGTGACCAAGTGAGTGCCCTGGGCTGCTGAACAGAAAATATGGGAAGGGGGTTATGTCTGTGTGCACATGCTGGGACCTACCAATAAACCACATCAGATGCTGCAGGAGTCTGTACTGTTACCTCCTACAGCGTCCTGTGTGTTTTCACCCATGCTGTCACCTCAATGTCGGCAGAGAAACGGCATGTGGGTGGTCGTGCCTTCGAACGTACTCACTTCAGTCATGCTGGACGAGCCGCAAGTGTTGAAACCATGTGGTCATCATTCCATCTATTCATATCTGATTCCCTGTGCCTTTGATGGTGGTGCTTACTGTGGTGCAGCTCTGCACGAACCATTTCTCAACATGCACTTTCAATTTGGGGTATTATTTTTTATCTTGTCTTTTGTGTAGGCCAGGAAGGAGTTTTAATGGGACACAGGACCTGTATGAGGATGGAGTTCATGTAGCCTGGGATCTTTAATGCTTGTTACCCACACTCTAATTGCTTTATCCAGTTTAAAGTATTTCCTCACAGTCAGACTCCTTGCTTGAGGAGCTGCTCCCTTATGTAAGACATCTCGAGTGGCTGACACTTTTCTTTTGTTATGAAGTTCGAAACATGCCTGCTGGAGTCACCTGCCCACTTCTGCAAGGGTAAATGTAGGTTATTAACAATCAGCAGTAGTGCTGTCATTTTTGAAGGTACTTCTAAATTAATTTCTTCCAATATTGGCCTTCTTAGAAATTAGAGTTTTAGTAACATGTCTGTGAAGCTGTGAAGGTGGCTGGATGCAAGTATCAAGGCAGAAAAATAAATTGTTTAAGGTAATCTTAGCAGAACGTATAACTAGTATATTGAAATTAGGAGATGGAGTATAGGCAAAACATTTTTCACCTTGAATTTGTGTTCCATTAAGCAAGCTGGCATTCAATAATTTAAAAATCTAACATTGATTATATTTTCCAAAATTTAGACATACCTATGAAATACTGTAGCAACTTACACTTGAAAGGAAGCCCATTTGCTGTGGACAAAAGTCTGTGGGTTTCCATGCCGATGTCGTGGTTCTCAGCCAAAATACTAAACCATGCATACAATGTGCAGGTCTTCTAGCAAAAAGCGTCTGAATTTTTACCTTGTAACACTGAAACGATAAAGCGCTTTTTATCTAAAATAGAGTCTGCTGTGCATTGCCTTAGAATATTATCAGTGTTACACAAATTGCTAATAACACTCAGTGTTTTGAAGCACCTTCTTTTTAAGTGAATCTGCATAGGGAGCGATTACACAGTGTAGTGCTCTGGCATTGACACTTTAAAGCCATTTCTGAAACAGAAGTCTCAAAATGTCGCTTGTTTCCAAGCTCTCTCTTTTATTTTTCCACGTCAACTGTCACCTGTATCAGTTTCACCACTGACCATCAAAGCTGTTAGAGAATTACTTGGAGCAAGTAAACGCAGCTCTGATGTTTGGGTGGAGTTTGCAACTACAGGACTCTGTGAACAGGGCAAAAGTAGATCCATTGAGAAGCCATTTTCCGGCTTTGAAAAAGTGATGGCGACAGGGGTGATGGGGTAGAGCAGGTAGAGCACCAACAGCAGCTGCTTGTCTTATTGACAGCAGTTTTGGTCAGAAATGGCCCAGTTATGGCGGTCCTCTTGCTCGCCTCAGATACCAGAGCTGACAGAATTTATACCAACAGTGCAAGAAGTACTTTAGGCCAGAAATATATTTAAGTTCTTTTGTACATGTAAAAACAAAATCGTTCTATGAAGTGACCGAAGCAGCTGCTAAAGCTAGTTTACCCATGGCATGACCTACCGCAGCACATTTTCACTGTTCCCTGCAGGTGGAGCGGTATGTTGGTGAAATTAAAGGTGGCCTGAGACCAGCCATGAAACTCACAGTCATAGGAATGGTACACTCCAACCCCAAGAGGTAGGTGAACGGGCTGGTGGGGGCTTCACCCCATCATATAGGCTCCTACCTGTCTTCTAAATTCAAAAGATTTCTCGAGGATCTGTGCTCTTTGAAGGAAGAAGGTCAAAGATTCATAACTTAGGTCTTTGTTTAATTTTCCTGCTCTTAGACTAAGAATAAAAGGGCAAGAAAGAATTCAGTGTTCAGCCTTTCTGACTGCCCTGTCAGGGTTTTCTACTCCTTGCCCTTATCTAATGTGAACCGAACGGGGACACACAAGTGGCATTTCTCCTCCAGGAAGAGGTGCAATTCTGAACCTGCACCTTGGTTATCTGCTGGGGCTAGAATCAACACTGTTTAAAAACCGGTGGTTTTGGCACAGGAGGTGCAGGTTCATTGCTGTGTTTAATCTGGATGACAGAAACTATGCTTATCATTACACTTTTTTTGCATCTACAGCAATCAACTCCAGTGCTTCCACTGGTGAGGAGTTTGCCATAACCTCTTTTAGGACACGAATTAGAATTGGCTTGTGCAATGTTGGCAAATGTTGGTTTGATTTCAGTCACAAGAGAGGGAAAGCAAGATCAGATATCGCTAGCATCCTACTGGAAACTGGAGGAGAAAAAAAGACCAGCCTGTTCTCATCCCTTTTTGCAACTTCTAAGCCTGCAGAAGTCCCGTGTTTCAGTCTGACAAGAAATCAACATCTGTCACTAGTCTTTATAAGCACTTGCCATGGTCACCACGTCCTTTTACGTTTCTGAAAGTCCTGGTCATTTAATTGTTTGGTTTTTTTAGCTTTACAGTGACTCTGCTCTGTGATCCAGTGGATACAAACAAAGATGTTGGGCTGTTATTTACAGTTAACTTTAGTGACAAATCCATCACCCGAAATGCACGAATTGCTGGGAAATGGGGAAGAGAAGAGAGGACCATTCCCTACTTTCCATTTACAGCAGGTGACACATTTAAGGTAATTTTTGGGGTACTATGAATAGGGTGGAGAAAAGGAGGGGAGAAATGCTGAAGGCTATGTATACGACCACAAATAGCTAGCTATTGACATTGCCAGGTTGACTAGTCTAGTATGGCAGAGAGAACAACAGTTCTGGCCCTGATGGGAGATCTATTCCTTTCTCTAGTCTTAGTGAGAGAATCCACTTTAAGGAGCTTTACAGTATCATCTCAGCAGAGGGTAAGTTATTTATTAGGGGCATTTCACAAGAGCTGGTAGACTTTGTGCTTCACTATCACCATCACACGGGGTTCTAAGTCCATGCTGGTGAAATCAACCCTGCTGCTGATCTCTTAACACTCTCCCCTGTCCTTTTCATTGCAGATGGAGCTCTTATGTGAACACCAGCAAATACGAGTCCTGCTTGATGGACGGCAGCTCTGTGACTTCACTCACCGCCTTCAGCCTCTGAACTTGGTGAAAGCTTTGCAGATCACAGGGGACATCAAGCTTACCAAAGTGGCTTGAAAAAAAAATCCATAATATCGCCAGAGGACAGAGGCAAATGTACTTTCTCCTGTCTGAGAAATGTTTTATCTTTTTCCCCTGGCTGATTTGGAGAGTGGGAACTATATATTTTTCATTTGCTGATGTGTTTGAAACATATACTTTTTTTTTTTCCTCACACACACACAGCAATTGCAGAGCTATGACTGGTCCAGGTAAATCAAAGGGCCTTTGCTGAGACACTCTCTTGGCCTCCCAAACTGCAAGATTTGTGATGCTATGCATTATCTCACATCCTCATGGTCCCCTAACCACTCCTTCCCAGGCACGCCAGCTGCCAGAGCTCAGTCCTCTGTGGTGGGGTGGCTGTTACCCTTGTGACTAGAACTGGGCAGTATACAGGTGGTGGGACTGAGAAAAGAGAAGCAGAAGATTTCCTTATAATTGAATAAGGGGCTCTGGTGGGCCCCAGCAAGGCTCATGTTATCAGGAGGGAATTGCTTTTCCTGGAAGCTCTGCTCAGTCAGCACAAAGCCATTTGTGTTTCCCAGTGCAGAGCGATAAATGTCTTACCACCATCTCTGTCTCTTGCAGGTAGCGTTCTCCTGAAAAGAAAGGTTTCAACAGCTGTGGATTTCAGAGTCCTCTCTGGACCAGCCCTAGGACATGGTATCTGCAGCTGAAACTGCATTGCCTGCTCTTGTGTCTAATTAAAACTGCATCTTTGCTGGCAAACTTCTTCACCAGCTCTGTTAAATATTTGAATGCACGTGAGTGTTGTGCTGTTGTTCTGTTGCTGTAGATTTAGAAAAGAGTCCTAAATACTTATATAAGCATATATATATGCTGCTGCCTTTGGCTCTGTTATGACTGGTTGGTTATAACACAGTATGAAGGGGAAAGTCTCTAGATGAAGAGACGTTTTTTCAGTCTTGGAGAACAAAAATCTGCAAAGAGGTAGTTCTGTGAATCTCTATCGAATGCCTCTGTGACTTCAGGGAAGATACATAGCTTGCTGTGTTCAGGGGGCTTTTGGAAGTTCTACAGAGTCTGGCTGTCAGACACAGGTACTCAGATGAAAAGAGGAGTTTTATGAAAATAGTATATCAACAGGCTGGTAGGGTTTTAATCATCTCATACATTCCATTCTGCCCTCTGGTGTTGTTGAGAATGTCTTGGTTTCTCTATAAATCTAAATTTACAGCATATGAAACATTTTCATATACTCAAACTGCCCTCTGAGAAAAGTCATGTCTGAATAGCACAGGAGATTCAAATGCACTGAACTTTTTTTTGTATTTAATGATATCAAAGTCAAGTTTATTAGACAAATAATGGAAAATTTAATGGCTTAAAATAGAAAAAGCAATGGTCAGAACTGCTGTTAGAGTTCTCAGTCCCAATGGTGCTCCACATAAATGGACTTACAGTGATAATCAGGAGGAAAAATCTTGCTTTTATGGCTGAGTGATTTCTTCCACTTTATTCAGCATCAGCAATTGTCTGGAATAAATGTCACTGGTCTGATTTGATACTCTGTATCCTGTACTGCTATGGGCCATTACCAGCAAAAGAATAATCTGGATACTGGAGAGGGGGATCCTTTGGTCTTTTCCAGCCTAACAGAGAACCAAATGGTAGAGCAGATGCATGGACAGACTCCTGTTTTTTTTTTCACAATAGTGATTATCCTGGCAGCTGCATTGTGGCTTAGCACAAGACTCATGGTATACCAAGAAAGGCAGCCTCAGACACCAGGACCTTTCATGACTTGATTCAGTCAGTCTTAATTAGTTACGTTTATAAGCCCCTTTATAAGGGGGAAAGGAGCAAGACATTTCTGCTTTAGGATAAAGCACAACCTGGATCTCTCAGATATAGACTGAATGCTTGTACAAAATAACTCTTTTCTTCCATCTTGGAATATTATATCTCATTGTTTCTTTGTAAAGCCCCATTTGTCTGTATCCACCTGTTGTCTTTTGTCTCCTGGTTAGATGCTAAGTTCTTGGTGGGGAATCACTCTGAACCTACATGACTCCTAGGCACCTAGGATGCTGGTCTGCCAGGAACTGCTGGGCGCTATGGCAATACAAATAACAAAAATAAACTATCTAAGGGGAAAACAACACTCCCAGATAATGAGAGCAGGAAACTTGGTCACAGTGTGACTTGTCATTTGGCATGGAGTCCACCTTACTCATGTCAGTGGTTTGATTGCCTCAATCCACTGTGCTCGCTCTGCCTTGGAGCTGGCTTGGATATAATAATGAATGTCATTTTTTGTGATGATTTTGAAAAGGTTGCCTTGCACATTGCCCTTCACTCCTGCAGAGAAAAAAAAAAAACAGTGACAGATCAGGAAAGTATACAGAGAGATGTGTTGTGGCAGATATGAAGCTTCATAGGGAAGATTTTTAATTTGGTGAATTAGGGTATCGAACCTTTCCATTTCATTATAGATAAGACATCTAAAGCATTTGTGTCTTTGATTTCTGTTCTGCAAAAGAAAGATACAGTGCAGACACCCCTCATAGACTGTATGAACTACTGTGTACTACGCATCATATATAAAATAGTCACTCTTCAGATAGAGAATCTTACTTGAGTTATACAATGGAGGGATGAACTTCCTACCAGTTTAGTAGATTAGATTTGCTCCTGCCCATCTTTGGGTTCCTCTTAGCAAGGAGCTCTATTGTTCATTATGCCCCCCCCCCCCCCCCTTGAGACCCTGTATTTTGTCTTCAGAAAGATGCTCCCTATTTGACATCCACACATTGTGCTTACTGTCACAAAATAAATCTCTTTAACAGCAGAAACACTTATCCATGAAGCTGAGGTTCTAGAGAAATGCCTAAGCTAAGCATATTCCTTAGCAGAACTGGTTTTTGTATTGCTGTCTTTATGTTTCTCCTATGTTTGGGTTCTAGCAGATCAAAAAGGAAAAGGTAATAGCATAAGTAGAGAGGACACACAGAAAAAGGATGGCATCAGGGGATGCCTTAAGACTTTGAGTTAAACAATATCCAAAAAGAAGGTGTTTCCTCTTTGTCTGTTAACTCTGGAATATTAATCAGTGTCTCAGGACTCAGAGGTCATCTGACTGAGAAAAGACCATAAAAAGGGGAACAACCAAGATAAGTGGAAATAATGCTAAAAAAAAAAAATCCTCTCTGGTATGGACAACCCAGCAGTTTGGGGATTTTTCATGATATGCCTCTTCACCTGCTTGCAAGGGGAGACGAAAGGCCAGCCCACTTGTGCATACAGACAGTCATACACACAAACCCACACCCCAAGACCACATTGCTATGGCATAAATATGTATGTATGCAAGTTTAGAGGCTCATGCTTACCTGCTGGGACTCCATTGTCCTCCAGAGCTGAGACAAGACAGCCACGAAGAGAAAATCCACCTACTGGCCTGTTTTCTTCCTGCAAAGATGAAGGAAATGAGGCTTATCTGGAAAATATCATCATTAGAATAATTTTTATGAAGGTGAAGATGTAATGCCAGTGTCACAAGAGAAGTCAATTAGGGCATATCATTAAATGCATTACTATGTTGTTTCAGTCTCAGATGTTTCTCTGATGTAGCTGGGAATGGTGGAGATCAATTAAAAGCACAAGGGTAGGCTAACAATCACATTTCAAAATTAGGTATAGTCTCATCAATAACAACCCATATTAAATATATATATATATTTCTGCAAGTTTTTAGCTTGCTGCTTTTCACTGAGACTGAATGGGAAATAATTGACTGTTCTCACTAGTAGGCTGGCTCTCCTGTCTAATCTTCAGGTTCTGCAGTTTGAGTTTATAGCATTACAAGGGCAAGTTGCAGTGCAAAAAAACCCCACAAAGAAACAGGCAACAGAAAATGAACCAGCTCCGTAAGTTCTTACCACTGTTATGTTGTTTGTGTTTTCTTTAAAAGTCATGTAAAGCATTTCTATACATGTTCTTTTAGCAACCTGTTGGGCTTTGTGGTACCCTGTGTGTTTGGGGCTTATGGATCCACATGCCCTTCAGGGTTGCTCACATTGATTATTATACCCATGAAAACGAATTCTACTATTCCCTGAGCAAGTTTAAAACTGAGTAGCAGAAATTTCTGTAAATACTTTGGCATCAAGGAGGCCCTATTCAATGTTGGAATAATAACATAAAAAATCCCAATAGCATTATGTCCCTCAAGTGGTGGGATGTTAGCCCAGAAAGATCACAGCCCAGGAAGAATCCCTGCGGGAGTATAGTCCCAGGACATGTGGGTACAGCAGAAGACCAGTCCCAAGGAGATTGCTGCCCCTTGGCTAAGGAAAAGGAATCTCACTGGGGAAAAGAGAGGAGGGAAGATGCAGGGATAGAAAAATCCTACAAGGACAACTTCCCAGGGTAAGGCCAGAGAGGTCTTATTCCCCAGGAAATGGATAGAGGGACAGAGAAGGAGATTTGGGTAAGAGAAACATTTATAGCATAATTGTATTTTAATTATAATGTTTAGGTCTATAAGAAGGTTTCCAGGAGTAGTAATTCCCCACTCACATACCTTAGTGGGGTCATAGTAGTGCAAAAAAGCAGGATCAGCTCTCAAAACAAATCTCCTCACCTTCCAGTTTTTCCTCTTGTGCCCCTGCAAAGCAGAAGAATTAAAGTTACCACCAGTAAATACCTCTTAAAACTGCCATTTTCCTGCAGGCTGTAGGGGAGACCTAAATAGGTACTGAAAACAGAGGGTTTGGAGCCAACAGAGAAATCTTTTCTGACATCTTAGTAACTCCAAGGATTTTCTGCTTAACATCCTTCTTCATACGTTGATAATTCCTTTCTCTCCCCCTCCCTTGTGCTGAGAGCCAAGAAAGCAGAGTGATAGGACCAAGTGATTGTATCCCTGATTCCTGCTCTTAATTTCAGATTAAACAGAGGTCTTGGATTAAAAAACTGTGCTGTGCATGCTCAGAGGGTATTGTGTCAGATCCTTCTGCAGCTCTTCACTCTTTCACCACCAGCCCTCTCAGTTGCTGACAGAGCATCTCCCCGCCTGGGGGTTTGGTGCTGGGGCTCAGGGCCAGCCTAGGGCTGGGGCTGCTGGGAGCTGCCCCTCACTGCTGCTAACCATGGGGAGAGGCTCCTGGGCATCTCATCTCCTGTGGTGATGGGAAGGGGGTGCCCTGCCCGTACAGAATGCAGAATATCCGATTAATCCTGTCTGAGCAGCAAGTTCCATAGCTCACTTCTTTATAACCAGATACTCTTCACCACACAATCTCTGATAGTCGTACTGACGGGCAAGTTAGCTCTGCTGGCCACAACTTTCCAGCCATGCTCGTATAAATCACATTTGTTCTCTAGGAAGTCCTAAGAGCTGTCATTTTTCTTGTTTCCCAGTGAAGGTTCAAAGACTGTATTTACCTGTTTCACTAAGAATCCTTGCTTCACAATTGTGCCGCTTAATTCAGAGATGTTAAATTGTAGCTCTTCCTTGGAACTGATATTTTTATTACTGCTCTCAGCCTGCAAATAGGGAAAAGATGGTTCCACTTTTCTTTTTAATCTAAACACACTTTTAAGAACAAAGTTCTACATTTTATTTTCCTTGAGCTGTTTCTAGCTCATATTTCCTGAGTAAATTCTACTCCATAGCCTTGCTGCTCAGCTTTGTAGGTCTGAGATTTTCAAGCAACAAATTACAGATGTAAAGCCTACACACCCAGCCTTGAGTTTTAGCATAACTACAGCACAGCCTCTGTTAAATGCAGACACAGCACTGCACTCGAGGAACATACCCCTTTTAATGACTGATTATGTAATTTGTAGATCCCTCCATATCCATGTAGCTGTGTGCAGCAAAAGTGCAAGTGTTAGTACTACTAAAAGCCTAGAGCTGCCCCATCTGCTTTTGCTCTCATAGCCTGGGTATTCTGCCTTTGGTTGCACGCGGTGCGTGTCCCCTTTACCAGTGCCCCAAATCAAGTGTGTGATGAGGGGCAGAGGAGGTGTCTCTGTGGACAGCTTCATCACTTACAAACATGTACAGTGCAGTGGAGTCGTCAAGGAACTGCTCAGAGAGGTCACTGTAGCGTGTAGCCTCAGTGCTGCGGGCTCCCACGGGCTTGATGAAGTTCTCCTCCATCAGCATGGATGCCAAGGTGATGGCCTCAAATCGTGACACAGCAAAGCTATTGGAGATGAGCCAGTCCACCAGGGCAGAACCTGCAGGGAGAAAGGCAGCTCTCATACCAAGACAATGTGCTCTTCCAAGGCGAGACAGGTTGTCTCCTGCCACACAAGTCCTCATTTGCCGAAACATTTTGGCACCATCACAAAGACTGTCAATGAAGGTTGACCAAAAGTGTGGGGTCCTATATGTGCTTCCATACATCGAAAGACCAAGAGAGAAAGGTGTTGGAGAGCTATTGGCTGCACTGCTACTTCCCACTGGGCCACAGCTGATCCCACCATCAAGGCAGTACAGTAGCTCCCTTGTCTCTTTAACATGGTGTGTCAGACGGGAGGAAGTTCTTTGCCTTCAGTGGGTGTACCTGTGAAGGTCTCTTTGTATCCTTTGCCTTGCTGCAAGTTGCGGGTCAGCTTAATTCCAGTACTGCTGTCACACATTCTCTCCACTATGTGGCTGTACAAGAGAGCACAGGACAAGGTTAGTAGAACAGAAAGACAGGCAGAAATTGCTACATACTTCTGGCAGTACCTTGGATGTCCTCATGATTACCAGCATAAAGATGGGGAAAAGCCTAGATACTCCTCTAGAAGTTTTTTCCTAAGTACGGTATAGGAAAACTTTATTCTGCCAATATCAGCACTAAACAAGATGCCTCACAAAGGCATCTTGTTTAGTTTTCAATTTAAAGCACTTCAAACTGAGCTATACTCAGCCTCCATTTACCTTCTCAACACAAATCAAATTAATGTCATTTTCCTATTTCTTAATCAGTTCTCCATTTCCTCTTGTTTAACATGATGCACCCTAAATAGCCTAGTCTGGATTCCAGCTACCAGCTTTGAAATCCCACCAACATGGCATGAACAGTGTCATTGCTCAGTCTCTCCTTGACATAACATCTTCCAAGGTAATACATCTCCCCAATGAGAGCCTTTGTAGCTGACTAGGAAGGTCTTCAAGCCAGCAGTTAAGTGCCTGTGCAGAACCCACATACTCCCAAAACATGATGGTCAGGAAAAAGTTCATTCCCATGCCTTAGCAAAAGTATGTGCAAACCTAGGTCAGCGCAGCCTGTTTAGAGGCTACTGGCCACACAGGAGAAGATCTGTGCAGAAAGGAGCTTCCCTTGACCCTCCCCATTAATCAGCTCATGTGCTTTGCAAGCTACAGCAACAGCAGAAGGAGAAACCATATACACTTACTGGAGGCTGATATTCTCTAGCAGTTTGAAAGAGTTCTTCATTCTGTGGAGCTCTTGCACCTGTACTGGGTGACCGGCATGAATAGCTCCAGTGATGTCCAAAGCCCAAGAGTCTCGCTCCTCCCTGGAGCAACATTCAAGGAAATAGTCTGTATTGGTTTTTGTCTTTAGTTTGATGAGTAGCTGCGGAGAAAGAAGTGCAAAGCAATAGGATCATTTAGCTGTTTACCCTCCACTTGTGTTTTGCTTCTTTTAGCACTGGCCCAAGTGATACAAATAATCCTGATATGGCATCCCACCAGAGCAGTACAGACCAATTCTTGTCCAGAAGGATGGTGGGCACAGCTTTGGAGTTCTTGCTTCCTCCTCACCTCAAAACGCTGTGTTTTCAGTTCCAAGCATGCTTTGCATGCATGGAACTTCTTGTACTTAAAAAAGAGAGCAGACCACCCAGATACTAAATTATATAGAAGTGTGCTGCTGACTATGGAGATCTCTAGTTTCTCAACAGCCACAAATTCTCACTAGGCTCTTTCTGTCATGAGAAGTACTGAAATAGTCAGCAACTTCCAGAGTCATTTCCCTTCTGGCCCCACTCAGAGGAAGTCTGCCTTGCCACCACCCATGGGTAAGTGGAGAAGCGCAGGAAGCACTTTTCCTTCCAGAGCCCTCTTGCTGGAAACCTGCCACAGCAGCAATGTGCCGTTGGCAAAGAAAAAGGGAGTGTGACAAGGCTGCCCGGGAGCACCCTATGGATACAGCCAGGGTTTAAGGCAACTACTATGGATGATAAGTTTCCCTTTTTTTCCCATCCTCCTTGGATTTTATCAAGCTGTCCATGTCCTTTCTCTACACACTGTTGGGCTGATGCATTTGGATTTATTCTTCCCACTGGGTGTGTGGGGTTAGTTTGTTTGTTTGTGACTCAGATTTGGGCACAGGGAACAGCAAAAACAATGAGGGAGCTCATTGTTTGTGCCAGTTACAATGCTAACATCAGCTTGCTTTGGGCTGGGCCTAACTCTGGAAACACCCCAGTGAAATGGTTGCAGCAATCAAAGAAGTCTGGAGGAGAGGAAGATGACTAGGAAGAAGTTAGAAAGTGAGTGTCATAGAGAAGGGATACATTTTTCCAGTCTTACCGGTCTGTTCTCGTATTCCAGGCATGGACAAGTAATAGTGCAGCCATCCAAAAGGATCCTGCCCTTTGGAGAAGGTTCCTTTTTGCCTCCTTCAATTTTGTAATACAGCAGCTTATCCTGAAGTAGAACGAACCATCTTACTTTCCAGTTACGAACAACATGACCCTAGAGGGGAAGAAATCCACATAGCTGACTAACACAAACATTGAGAAATGGTGTATTTTTTAGTTTTCTTTTTTTTTGTGTATGTGAAAATACCATAAACTAAGAAACAACTGTATGAAAAGAAACTATGAAAAGAAACCCAAGAAGTCATCATGAGTCCTGTTCTCCCTGAAATACACATTTTAAATAACATTAGAGGTCCATCACAATAAAATCATGGAGCAATAGAAAGGTGCTTTAGTCTTTCTCCAGCAAGGACACCTTCTTTGCTGGCAAGAATTGTTTCTTGCAAAAGCTGACAGGAATTGTCTCAAAGATCTAATGAGTGGTTTATTTCTATCCTACATGCCCCCAATCTCCTGGGCTAAAACATTCCCTGTACTACTGCTTCCTGTAAAGGAAATATGCTTTTTAATGGCAAAAGACCGAATAAAGGCTGCTGCTGAAAGCCTCCTGAGTTGTAGCAGAATACAAAAAAACCCTCCTCTTTCCCCTCTGTAAACAGCCCCCGGCTCTCTTTAGTCCGGCTGTACAGGAGAGCAAACCCAGCGAGGGCTGGCACTGGCAGGCTCTGTCCTGCCTGACGGTGTCAGGTCCAGCTTTGCGGTGCGAGGAGCTGACTGTAGAAAGCTGCCTGCTTTTCTACAGGCACTGGAGCATTACAGCCAGCAGGCGAAGCACCAGGTAGAGGAAGCTCTAACAGCTGGGAGAGGGTGGGCATAGCTGAGAGAAAGGAACATGCAAGGTCCAGTTGTGGCATGAATCAAAGCTCATTAATTCTCTATGAGTAAAGGGGAAAACCAGCAATTTCCAAGAAAAGCTGGGGTAATGAGTCTCCAAAATCCAGGGCACTTTAGATCCAATGTCTTCTAGCCTATACTAAATACAATTTATCTAACTGGCGTTTGTTCTCTCCTTCCCTTTGCCTTCTTTGGTACTTTTTTCACCTGTTATAAAGTCCCTTGGCCATTTTTACCGAGAGTATGTTCTTTCTTATGGCTCCTTTCTTTGCTTTGGAGATTTCCTCTTTTTCAGGAGGTTGCCTTACTTTTTTTTGTCTATCTTTACCTGACTTCCACACATTTACTTTGTATTTATAATACATTACAACACATAATTCATTCATTTATAGTGCATTTAGATCATCTCCTTGCTTCTGCTCTCTTCTTAAAAAAGCTCTGTTTTCTTTATCTGATCCCACCCCTTCCTGATTTTTTTCTCTGGATCCCTTGTTCCCTTCTCCCTCAGTTTCCTTTAGTCACCTTTGTGGTCTCCTTCCTGTCAAGCTGCCAATAACCTATTCGTCTCACACACTTGGTGCCTTGGCTTCCCATCTAGAATTCAGTCGTCACTTAAGAGCCACAAAACACAACCGTAGCCCTGGAAAGCAGGAGCTGGGACTGCTCTGCCCTCACTGCAGAAGGGAGGACGAGGAAGAGCTCGGGCCACACAGCCTTTCTCCGCATAGAGCACGGCTTCACATGGCCAGCGGCCGGCTGAGAGCCCTGCCAGGAGAGCTCCTGACCAGGGTTACCTTCATGTTCGCCCCAGAAGTACTGCCACGTACTGCAGGAAAGCATTTCCCAAGGCGTGGCAAAGCTTTGAACAAACCTTTGAATCACATTTTTTGTGTGCAGTCAAGGACCATATTAGTCATTTGAGACAGGGTCTTTGCACTAAAAGCAGCTTATGCCCCTTGCTAAGTTGCCCTCTTGTGTCCCAGCTATGACTGACCTGGTTGTTCAGGGAGCAGTGTTGGAAAGGCTGAAATCTGTGACACCATCTTTCAGCTCTTTTCTCCACGTCTTGGCTAAAATATTCTTACAGTGCAGCTTGAGGCATATGGAAGAAAGAAGTTATTTTGAACACATTTCTGTGTTTGGTTTGCTCTGATCCTCTTCAAAAAAGGATAGTCTGTTCTCCATCCTCTCACATGAAATGGGAAACCCTGCTCAGCTGGGTCGCTAAAGAAGGCACAAACTATCTTAAGAGACTGTCAAAACATCTTCCCTCTCTCCATCCTCCCATGGCTACTTCCACTGCTGCTGTGTAGCCATTTGCCAGGTAGTTTGTTATGTGCTCTTTGCAGAGGTGTGCCCTAGGTGCAGACACACTGATAGCTAACTGAGTAATCCTGATAGCTAACTCACTTTCCTCTGGGTAAATGCCAATACAGGGAAACTCGAGGGAGGGTAGTGAACACCTGCAGTTCATGCAGGTCCCCTGGCAGGCATCTGCACAAACCCAGGGGAGCTCCTTTCCCAGGGGCAGGTGGGAGCCCCTCAAACCTAGCGCCCAATGGCCTGCCTTGCCACGAGCCCTAGCTCGATCCGGTCCCTGCTCAGGGGCTACTTCCACGTTTGAGCAGAACTGCACGAAGAGGACCCGGAGCACTTACCCGTTTGACGAGAAAGCCCTCCTTCAGGACTCCAGTTGCTTCCTGCATCGCAGCCAGCAGGGAAGAGAGCTGAGCCCCTGGCGGCCTGTCTCTCTGCACGCGATTTATTTAAGAAAGCTCATTTTTCTTTGCTACCCTCCGCCTCCAACGTGACGCACTCTCCCTTCCCTGTTTTTTTCTCCCTCTCTTCTTACCTATGAGACATTATTTAAATGGTGAGCTGGCTCTGATACATTACCTGCCCTCTGGGAAGTGAAACAAAGGGAAGTCTAAAAAGGATCTCAAAAGAATTTCACAGAATTTAGTATAGCAAAAAAACACCACCGAGTGAGTTGGTCAATACAAGCAGAGGATGGCAAATCAGGTATTGCATGGCAGGGAGAAGCAGAATTATAAAATCTCATCCCTCAAAACTTCAGACTAATCAACTCTACCACTTAGAATTTCTCATCTAATAAACACATCTCATAGGGTTCTACAGATCAGAACACCTTAAGTGTAACATATAGATTGTTATGATTACAAGGAGACTTATACAAACCTTAAAATAATTTATTTTGCGAGAAATTTATTTTACTGAAGAAGCCCCAAAGCACCTAAAAGCCCACTCTACTTTCAGTGTCCTCTGGGTGTATAAACCAAGATTCTCAATGTAATATCCTAAATTTCTACATAAGCAACTATTTGGGCTTTTAGTAAAGCAGTCTGATCAATGAACACTATGGAGAGATCTCTTGTAACTCCTAGGCACCTCTGAAACAGAGTGCCTTTTTTGTGTCTGAATACAAGCTTAGATGTTTTTTGCATTTTTGAAGACTTTGGCCATGATAAAGCTGTTTGATAGATTTATCAAATCCCATCCTGATGAAATAAACCAGTATCAGTATTTCAGACAGCGCTACTGTTCAGAATAGTCTTTGCTGTACTTTAGCACTCCCTGACTTATATGAAAATTAAGGCGATATACGTGGGCAGAGCTAGGGGCTGTGATAAGAAGCACAACGCAGAGCATAACAAAGAAACAAAAGCACTCGTTGCTATGTAAAAAGAGTCCAGAGTTCATTAAGACAAAGTGACTCAAGTATCTCTCAGTCTTTGCTCACTGGATCAGATTACTGGTCACACTTTCATGTACTGAGGAAAAGGAACAAACAAACAATTATACAATTTTTTATAACTTTCAGCGAGGAAGAGCAAGACACCAAAGAATTCAAACCTGACAACATACTGGAGATGACCCAGAGACCAGTCCTGCAGAGATCACGAGAAATATGATGGACGACTGAACGCAAAGTTAGAAAAATCAATTGCTGTACACAAAAAGAAAGCACGCTGGCTGGGATTTCAAAAGCCACCGGCCCATATGGAGGTTACCGACTTAGCTCCTACTGTACTCCCTTTGCCACTTTGGAAAAGGCAGGCAGCCATGAGGCAACTGGCTGCATAAGTCAGTCATATCCCAGTTAAGTTTGTTCTTCAGTCCACCTAAAATAAGTACAGTAAGTTTAAAAGAACACCTAGAAGAGTATTTTTTTTTGCTGTAGGTAGGTAGTATTTTCAAAGGTATCAATGGAAATTATTCTTTTTTAATATTATTGTGTCCTTAAAATAAAGCTGAAATGAACTGAGTGCATTTCTTTTAATTTAAAAAATAACCTCTGTGTCTATACATATATAAATATATATAAAAAAGTTGTACTCAGAAGCAGAATCTTGGGAAAAAAACCTGAGGCAGTCAGCAGAAAAAAGAAAATAAATTTCAGCTCACCGTGTTCTGTATTTCAAAATTAAACTTGAGACAAAAAGAAGAAAACGAGTCCAGATATACAATAGACATTACTGCTGCATGCGTTCCCTGGACACGCACTCTTTATACAACCAGCTCCAGGAATACAGTGTTCCTTCTACCATTTGGAATTTGAGGTTTGACTTCACATTGTTCAGCTTGTTACTGCAGGCAATTTATAACATGGTGGGTGAGATAATTTCATGCTAGCGAGGACAGGCAGAAGCTTGCAGGGGGCTCTTGCTCAGACAGCGATCTCAGAATTGCACCATAACCAGTCCTCGCCGAAAATCTAAGTGAGTGCTTTTTCTCCAGCACGCAGACCACCCACAACCCTGCAGACGGATCTTGGCAAAATTATCATTAGCAACAAAAATTTTTAATGTCAAACTGCTGGTGAATGGTGAAGCAAATGTCGCTGTAGCTGGTCATTAAACAATAGGTTTTGTATCAATGTTTTGTAATACAGAGCCTTCACTTTCTTCAGTATTTCAAAGTATTTCTTCAATACTTTGGATATTCATCATACACACTCCCCCTTCCCCCTGTCTCACTCTGTAGTCAATCAAGGCTAGTGAACTGCCCCTATATTGCTCCCAGGGGCTGAGTGAATACAGATCTTTCAGGGTCATACAGCGTAAAAGGAGGCAGTAGCTCTGGGCTGCTGTATTCTCACATGTGCTGGGAAGGCAAGTTCTGGCATTAAAACCTCCTGGTGGAAAGGACATGTTTCGATCCGTATAGCCCTAGGGAGCTCTACATCTAGTCTGCTGTGGGACTTGAGACTCATTGAAGGGAGAGTTCTCTGTTTCCTCAGATCCATTTTAGTGTTTTCCACATGTCAGCTTAGTGTTGTAACAGAAAAGCATAGTTGAGTGCTTGACGTTTTCTTCCATCCAAAGTGACCCCAAAATACTTTCCATGCTACACAATTTGCATTGGGATGGCCAGGAAGAGCCAGCTGCAGGCTTCAGGACCACAGGATGCTGCTCAGGGTTAAAGGGAAGGGCAGGAGCAGCCAGCTCTGAGCACAGACCATGCTATTTCAGCTGGCCCATCTGGTAGACCTTGCTGGTACCTCCAGGTCAGTCCCTCAAGAAGCCACAAACAGCTGAGAACCTGCCCAAAGGACAACCCGCGTCGCACATGCTGCAATGCCCATCATGTATCATTGTGTCACATGGGGGATTACATACACCCAGCTCTTTCAGAGCACCTTCTTAAGTTGCCAGGACTTTGCCCTCCAGTGCAGGACACCATTAAATATTCAGTTCCTTTAGCGGATTAGGGACGGAATAAGATGAAAACAAACCACATTAAAATAAAGAATGATGAAACATTTCTAGATGATAGTGAAAGATGACAAGTGTTCAAAAGTATTCTGACACAACAGCATTTTTAGAATTAACTGTACAAAGGTGGCAGCGTTTGAAAACAGTTGTTGAACTGTCTAGACTCTGGAACGAAAACGTATCAGAGATTAAATACCAAAGCGTAGATTCCACTATGAAGAACAACATGCCAGATCCACTGCATATAAAAAACCCTGAGGGCCAGAATCAGAGAGAAAACAGCAAGGAATTGTCACTGTATTGAAAACCAGACAAACCACAACAGCCCCAAGCAAGCAGGGCTTCCCTTCTTCAGCAGCCACTATATCCCCTCATCAGAAACAGGATACTGGGCTGTGAGTTATGGGACGGTGTGCCTGACACGAGCCGGTACCTGTCTGGGGTCTGGGTTTTTTGTGTTAATGAGCCCTTATCAGACATTACAAGTGAAATGGCTTCCAAGCTGCCAATCTTACCAAATGAATTTGGGACAGGAAAGTCAAGCTGAGATCCTTACACTTAACACGTCAGGCCAAGCCCTGTCCACAGGTATACCCTTCAGTTGACTACATGAGTGCAAGTGGAGATTTCGGCCTTGCCGAGCAAACAGCACACTGCTGAGGAGCAGCAGGAACACAAAACATCGCTCTAGCAACTCAACAAAGAAGTTCCCACAAAACTCACGACCCTTACTTTAAGCACTTGGTAAGCAAACGCAGTTCCACGCACACAGAATAGACTGCTTGAGACAGAAGGTATCATCTCAGCAGCTTGTGAAGATTCTTAAGTCACAGGCAATGGCAACTGATGCAGCAGCACAGCCGAGGCCCAGTGTGGGCTTCACAGGTCCAGCACTCCCTTACACACACCTCGCTCACAGGCCTCAAAGCGGCCACCTTAGACCTCCTCCTTCCAGTTACTGCAACACATGAGAAAGGACCATCAGGTTGTCTTGCATCGTTTAGGCTTCTTGGTTAAAATCCGCTCAGGCAACAGGACAGCACGATTTCATCTGCCAGGGTAACAAGTGATTGAAATGCATTTATCTTGAGCTGCTTTGTCACTGTCCTCACCACCTTGGTCATTTTTTTCAGGCACTCAAAATTGGCCCAGAACTGTGTACACCAGCACACCGAGGCTCTAATTAGAAAAGCTCCTGTAGCTACTGAACCAGTTCAGCAAACTTTTGCCGAAGTTACTGACAGGAACGACGCTTGCTTATGAACACACCAAAACAGCTTAGAGACAGTGCTAATTGCAACTCCTTGATAGTACTCCATGGAAAGAGCATATGTGGCTCATTTTCCAGTGCTTTCCTTTACAGCATCATTTTGGCATACAGGTCACATGGTAAGTTTTAAACCCTTTGTTCTTTAGCCCAAGTACCCGCATACTGGATTCAAGCCCTGACAAGGCCGAAAAGACAGTAATTTAAGAAAAAAAACTTTTAAAAAATTTGTTTCTTCGTTTTGTAATAACACATTCGGGTATTTTCCAACATTCTGCAAAGATTGGAAGTTACTTCAGTTTTTTGGCTTTGCATTACTGTTAGAGCTGGGTACATGTGAACGTCTCTGATAACCAAGCAAGGACTGCAGTACGTACACCCTTTCTGAACGCCTTTCGTTCCATTCTGTACTTTGGCAGTTCTAAGAATTCCTAGTGAATTTTTCATGCATTTTTCCTCTAACATTGCAAAATATTAAGAAAAAGAGGAGATGGGCAATATGGGACATGACAATAATAAAAAAAAAAAGATATACATTAAAAAATGTAGCAATCTTGAAAAGTTACTTAAACAAAACCAACTTCTCCCTGCAATTCCCACAGACAAGGAAAATTAGATTTTTTTACTTCATTTTCTTTTTTCTGACTCAACATGGAAAAGCACATCTTGTTTCTTTTCTTCAAAGATATAAACAAGTTGTTTCTAGACCGAATACCTCGGTCCAGTGTAAATGAGACTTAGGGCTGGCACAATTGAAGGTCACACAGCAGTGAGCTCACAAGACAGTACTGCCTATTTTGAAGTATGAGTAAGTTCATTAAAGCTCCCGCTATATCCACCTGTAGGAGCAAAGTGCAACTACATGTAATTTTTCATTCATCAGATGTTTATTGGAATGGTAACAAGCTATTTTCAAAGTTTTCAAGTTCTCAGTGCCTAAACACAGATGATAAACAAAGGAAATGCTCTTTTAAACAAGCCTGCATCAACAAACCTGCAAGAAAAACATTTTGTTCCACTCATTCTTGGCTTGATTTAAAGCAAACAAAAGAAAGCCCTTTGAGCATTAAAAGGGAGTTACCCACTGCTCATACCCTTCCAGGTTTTATATTCACACCACTTTAGGCCAGGTGACAAAAGAGGGGGGAAAAAAATCTTGGCATTACATAGCCCAGAAGTTTATTGAATATTTGCTCAAATACATTCTGTACAGAACTGTTCAGCTTGCTTGGTTTTGGTGCTGCCAGGAAAGATCAATAAAAGCTGCACTGAACTGTAATCACCAATTAGGAATTGTTATGTATGAAAATGTTAAGCGTGGGGCTGCAACCTCCTTCTGGCCAGATCTGTGTCTTGAATTTGACTGGGCACCTTCCTTTCAAAGGATTCAATTTGTGTAAGTTGCTGCATCAAAAGTTATTTAGAAGAGTTGTTTACATTTTGGTCTTTTTAAAACAGTAGAACACTTCAAGTATTTGCATTTGAAGTTTTCAATACTGGAAACATTTAGTCCAAAGTGTTTGCAATGGGGTCTCTAATTTTCCATATGGTCTCTCTTCTAAATATCCCAGAACATTTAGTCTTCAGTTTTGGCTTCCATTTCCTCAGCATCATCATCCCCATCCACTTCAGCATTTTCCCTCTCCAGTCTTTCCAACTGCCTTGCAAGCTCAGTCTCATCTGTGTCGGTAACCACCTTAGGCTGAAAAAAAAAAAACAAACCAGAACACATGGTAAACTGTCATAAAACCCACCATATATGTTTGTAAACTTTCATTCTACAGAAAGAGCAAGAGATAAAATACATCCTACAGTCAAACAATAAAATCCAGGAAAATTAGAATTTTTGGCCATTTGTTTATTTAAGGAACACAGACATCCAGGGTTTGTTTTTTTTTAGTTTTCAAATACCTTTTTGCAAAAATTTCTCTGAGCATGACTGATCTTGTTCTACTTTAAAAATGTTGCGAGGAAGAAAAAAAGTTACATTTTAGAATGTAACATGTTCTTACCTCCATCTGCACATTAAAGACTCCTCTCTTCTCTTCAATTTTTTCTTTAATTACAGCCATGGCCTGATTCAGAACAGAGAGTCCCTCAGTTCTCTCCAGTGTTGTAGTGGTCATCACATAACGAGGAGGGGCTATCAGATTAATCTATCGCATTGTAGGGATTGGAGGGGGAAAAAAAGGAAAAAGAAAAAAGCAAACTCAGTAACAAACACAAAGGAAAAATAGCAAAAGCAAAGCAAGCAACACTATTCTAAATGTACAATTCACAGATGAAACATTTTCCTATTAGAAAAATCCTTTCTAGAAGCATAAACAACTTGGACTGAAACAGTAGCCAAGAAAGTGCACAGCCTGTCTGATTTCCAATGTCAGCATCACTTACTTCTACATAGTGTATTTATTTAGACAAATACTGTTAAGCAGAGAGGCTATCCACTTTGTAGACCAGTAAAACAGCCTATCACAATTTTTCAAACAATTAAAAGTGTTACAACCAGTATTATTATTATTATTATTATTTTTTTAAGATGACTGAATATGTAACTTTTCCTTTTCTTACAAGAAACCATTATAAGATATAATTTTCAAAGAAAGAAGTACTGTCAAGTTTTTCTGAAAATACTTATTCAGCAACACACTCAATATCCTAAAATGATCAGGGAAGAAAAACTAGGCCTGGGTACAGTAGCCATTCTACCAACACCCAAACGTGTGTGGAGCAAACATTCCTTTTCTCACACAATCTTACACCTGAAAATAAAATGGATTGCTCCCTCCCCCAAGTCTGCATAAAGGAACAGTAGGTACACAGTGTGCCAAAACTAGACTTTAATGAATCGGACAGAATAAATACAGCTTCTTGAACCAGGGAAGCCACAGCACAGTCACAGGTACAGCCATCAGCTCACAGCTGAGGGAAGCGTGTTACAGACCTGTTTGAGAAGAATCAGAACACACATATGTTGCTTCCCAGCCTCAGTATGTGATTGTGACAATTGCAACTGCATCGCACTAGTACCCGAGGGCATCAGAAAACTTTGCTTTCAATTTCACCATTGAGATAGACGCTTACTTTGATGGGCATGTTCTCCGTGGAACAGTTCAAGCCTGCTCTCAAAGCTTCTTTTACGGCATCTATGCCCTCATAACCATAACAGGCCACCTCAATATCTAAGACAGAGGAACACAAATAATAAAACTATGAAGTTACCAAAAGCTGTAGAATCTTCAAAGCTTTTAACTTAAGCTTTAATAAAGCTTTTTAGTATCCAATGTCTATCCACAATGACAGCCTCAGCAGCTCCCAAAGCTGAGGAAGGTATTTAACCTTCTTGTAAGCTGAGGTAAAAATCTTGATAGATTCTTCAAACATACAACATTTTACATCATGCTTTGAAAAGCCAAGATACAAAATTGTACAGCCACATTCACTCACCTCTCACCTAATAAATTCAACAGGAATAATTATGTATGTCACATAGAGAGTTGAAGATATAAAAGCAGTAAACAGCAAAGAAAAATTTACCAGGAAAAATTAAACTTGAAAAAGAGCACATCCATTCCAATTCATGGAATTCTGTCAGCAATTACAACAGAGGCACAAAGGCATCACTTGAGGAGCACTGGAATTTTTACCTTTTTTTTTTTTTTTTAACGTAAGTTGTATTAACATACAGCTAAAACGGTAGTTAGCTATAGCTTTTGGTACGTCTTTGGAAATTAAAGCATAGACTAATGCTGGTCATATCTGTAATACCCCAATTAGTCTAAAGACAAAGATTTCTTTACCTCTGTAGCAATGGTGCAAGACTAAGCTATACAGAGAAGTTAGTCTCACTTCCAGGTGACTAATACCACCACATTAATTTTCAGCTATCAGAAACAAATTCACAGAAGAGCATCCCGGTCAGCCTCAGGATGAGGCTACAAGACCTCGGAGAGTTTCTATGCTTGCTTTGAAGACAAAATTAAAAACAACTTAGACCATCAGAACAAAATAGGCAAGATGAAGGAAGTAAGAACATGCTCATCAAGTAACTTTATTTTCAAAATTAATGAAGTGCTATTCACGTTGGCAATTTCATCCTTCACAGCAATAAAATCCTACTTACATTTTTGAAGTCTATATTACCTCATGTTGATCTAAAGTAACAGGTAAGGAATTTTTCACTACCTTACTTGTTGCACTCTCTTTTTGACTTCACTGTCATGTGGATGTGGCTTGCCTTTTCTTCTCTCCACAGTAATCAACAAGTGCTAATGCTCTTCAACATATCCTTGCAGAGCAGAGGCAATTTCTCAATATAGTTAAAAACATGACTCTGCTACACTGAGTATCTTTTTAATGGCAGGCATGCTTTTAGGCTGTTCAGTTAGCTGTATAACCAGATTATCTTAAAGTGGCCCTTCTTAAGTAGTGAAGTCACGTGCTTCTTCTGCCTGCACCGAATTACTAAGAGACAAACAGGCTCACACCCTTTCTCAATACATCATTCAAAATACATCCAAAATACATCCAATACACATCTGAATACATCAGAGCTGTGCTAGGCATGAGCCAATACATCCTGCTCAATGGTCTGCAGTCAACCAGTCAGAAATACACCCAGAGCAAAGTCAGAATTATTTTCATGTGTTCATGGATGAGCGGCTAAGACATCCGCTGTAGCCGTGCTGACACAGATCAATCATCCTGTTAAGGAATCAATGCATTTAACACCTGAATAATGAAAAAGAATAAAATGTTTAAATTCATTCTGCGCCAGTGCAATACGATAGACTGCACTATGTATCAGGACAACTACTTTGTGTCCCAAGGAATATGCAGTTTGGGGGAAAAAAAATAAAAGCCAAATAACCTTGCACTTTGGGATAGAACCCACATAGGCATTTTGCAAGCCATCCTTGATTAAAGTGTCTTAATTCTGAACAGTTCCACTCAAATATCCCCTAGTTTTAAGTGAGTTTATAGTTTGCAACAAGATACACTAACTTAAGTGTCAAGACATGTCCAATGAACAACTGGAAAGAACTCACCAGCTCGGATTTTGACCGCTTGCGGTGTCAGACGTCTGTTAATATTGTCAATCAATACACGCCTCTCTTCCTCTGTCAGATCTAGGCTATCCAGGATGGCAGGGTCTCTGAGAGAAGCAAAGCAATGTTACAGAAGCTATACTGAAGTGGAATACAACACCACATGAACTTCTGATACTATTTCAATACTCCTATGCATAATCCTAGAGATCTACCAGGCAAAAAACCAGGGAAATTTCTTAAGAGTCCATTGAAACCCTGGAAGAAAACCGCATCTATTTTCAAAATATTTTCTATTGGATGCATTTAACAACAAAGCAGCTAAGCAGTTTACTCTCTGTTTCTGCAAGGAAAGATCTGAATTTTTAAATTTTTTTTTTAATGCAAAGGAATGACTTCTGTCCAGCTCCATTTGTATACGATACACAGAATGAAACAATATCTAGTTGCTTGGCATTTACGTTCCCTCCAACGTAAAGATACACCCATATCACATGAAAGAGAAATCACGATGAATCTGAGGTTTTTGAATTACTTTAATGTTTCACTCAAACGCAATATTTTTGTCATTCTACAAAGTAACCTATACTCATTCCATGCTATTCTGTACTCCTTTTTAACAGTGACTGGATCACAGATACTTACCTGTTGGCTACATTCATGGCTAGAGAAAGCATAAAGGTTTTCAAAATCACAAGCTAACAGTTTAAAATCCAAGATCACAGAGGTAAACTCCTCTGCTGCCTACCAATACAAATTAGTAGCTCTTGTTTGAAGAAGTGGTGTCAATTCTCTATTGATGTACTAATTTTATCCAAAAATACCTCTGAAACAGAGAACATAACAAAAAAGCTCCTCACAAAAACTGTTCCTGTTCTTCAGAGACAAGAGTTGCAGTTCTCTGAGAAACAACACCAGATCACCTACAATACTATTAGCAGGCAAACATGAACTAAAATGGCCCAAAACCCAGAGGCAATATTGGAGACTGCTGCCAGTAAAACGTCATCTTTCATGACTTTATATACTGAGTATAGACAGTAAAAGGGCCAACCATAAGCAGACAGAACCCAGAAATATGACAGGTTTTACACATCAGAATATGAACCTGTATGGCAGAAGTGATTTATTGGACATGCAAATTCTGAATCTTCATTTACAATCTACCCTGTTAAATCTTTGAGTTACTCTCACGAGCATTTGGTAGGCATTCAACAAACACATCCTCAATGCTGAATTTTTACTGATCAGAGGGCATGTACTTCAAAATTTTGCCACAGGTTATCATGCTGTGTGAAACCCCAAAACACTAATCCTCAGTACTAAGAAAGGAACAGCAAGTCACATTCTTCGAAAGCACGTTAAGCCTCTCACAAGCACTTCAGCAAGCACAGGAAGACAGCAACATCCCCATTTTCCTGCTCAACTGTTATAGCTTTATGTAGGAGCATAACAGGAACAAACAAAAGTTGCAGTCCATCGCCAGAAATCTTAAGGCATTACTGATGGAAACATGTTTTGAGACAGCTTCAGAAGTTTGTGTTCCAACATGAACACCAGATGAGCAACAAATGGCATGTGCGTTCAGGAAATTTTCTGAGTTTAAGAGAAGTTTAAACAGCAAATGTAAGTACAGTTTTTTGCTCTTCTATCATACAGGTGTTTAACTAAGTATTTATCAGTTACAGAATGATCGTGAATTGCTTCTGCCCAGATTTACCCATTATCAGTAAATTTGCTATCATTACGAAATAATTACCATTCTATGAAACAGAACACATTCAGTCTAAATGAGGATACAAGTTGTGTCTCCTCCAAAATTGCAGAGATGGTTTTAAGCAAGTCACAATGCTACCAGGTGTCCTGCTTCCTAAAGTCAACACAATTTCTAAAATTTTGTTACTGCCATCTAGTGTTCAACCCAAGTTCATCACTCAGACTTATGTGCTATAAAAATAAAATCGGATCTGTTTATTGAGAAATCTATTTTTGGATTGCAAATTTCACGATAGAATCTTTAGAGGGAAACCAAATAGATTAATTCTGAAAGCAAATTAAAATATCGGACTCCATTAAAAAACTGAGAGCAATCTCAGTACATATCCCCTTAGCATCACAATTTCCATCTCTTACTGTTCATAACTCCATTTCTGAGTTCATGATCCCATTCTTTAAGTTTGGCAGTGCAGAGAAGTAACAAGGCAGCTTCTTGCATTCAAAAAACTGCTTGAACAGTAGAAAAGTGACAGTCACCTCTGAGCAGAAATATCTTCAGACACAGGTATTTTTGATAACATCTGCTTGGGACTAAGAACAGGCAAATCCTGGTAGACAAACCAAGATCAGTGCTGCTTCTTCTGTATGAAATGTCACAGGCTCATCTGTAGCAACGGAAAGCTCTCCAGCGTTTGTCATCACATGTTTCTTTTATACTTAAAACATATTATTCACCAATGCCTCAGTATTTCTCCATATCAAATTCAATTACTGCTTTTAAAAACCTGACATACACTGATTGGCAGACTCAAAGATGAATAAAAACAAGTCATCTCTGAGCCTTCTTTCTCAAGAGCACTGGGAACTTGAAGAAAGCAGTAAGACAGAGAAACCTACAATAAGCAACTGGAAGATTGATGTCAAAATTTACTACTTGACCAGTACATTCTACATACTGACTCTGGGGAAAAAAAAACACCACTAACAAAAAAACCCCAAGAGAACACTATGATGGATCTATTCCAGGAAATACTTCTCTGCAATTTGAAATAAGCCCCTAGAAGTAGAAACGATGTCCTTACGAGACTGCATGCTTGAATGCATCATAAGCACCATATCCTGGTCTTTTGTATTTGTCATCAAACACCCAGGCAGTTCTTTGGAACAGGCTCTCAAGCTGCTCATCCTTAGTGTACTCCAAGACTTCAGCAACATGTCGAAGGATGCTATAAACCTGAAACACAAAAGAAGTGTTAAAAACAAATACCAAAACCAGACAAAAATTTAGATCAAAAGTAATATTTAATGGTAAGCCTTCTACTCAAAAGCATAAGACCACTCAGTAGTAGGGGTGGGAGTCAATGCCTTAAACTGCCTGCATGCCTTTCCAATAAAAGTTGTCCTGAGTGTGCTAAACCAGCATCTACTTTTGGATGTCTGATCATTTAAATACACCCCTTTACATCACAAATTTTCAACTGACATCTTACTTGATCTATTCATTAATGAAGCAGCAGCTTACCAGAGCTCTCACGGACAGATGAGCTGGTTATATATATTTGCATGGGTAAATGGGGATCAGAGCATGCCTAATAAACGAAAACACCACTTTATTTTCCTATTATCTTATGTCTGTGCGTTGCAGGTGCTCAGGAAAGAAGCTTGAAATAGACAGTCCCCAAATACAGCAAAGAAACTTACAGTCTTTGATTTTGTGAATTTGTCTTCACATTTGATTGCCTCCTCTGGAGAAACTCTTCTTTTTGACAAGTCAATATAACCTATTGGGGGAAACCATTTTCAAAGTGTCAGGCATTGTGCAAACTAAGTCTAACTGCTTCAAGAGAAATGCATAAAGAACAAACACCCTGACTCAGGATTTGGCCCTTGCCTATGCTATCCCTATATGTTGCTACAGAAAGTAACAAACCCAAACTTCAATGATCAAATTATGATCCAAATTAGAATATTAAATTATTCTTTCAACTGTAAATACTTAGAATAGCAACTCTTTTGTACAACATTCTTTAAAGTTACTGCCTTAATGTTTTCTCTGCAAACTTAACAGGACATTTTCATAGTATTTCAGCAATCAGTGATCCATTTCTATGTTGCTGTACACAGTTCTGGTAAAAATCACACCAGCATACAAAGAAGTAAGTTTGATGCATATTTTTGTACTGCTCAACTCAACTTCATTCAAGGTTGGCACTCCATCAGTTTAGCTCTGAATGATTTCCTAATAAAGTCAGCCTGGCCTCAAATTCTGACTCTTAACTCCTTGGATACTCTTTTGGGAGAACTGTCTGTGGAAAAAAAATCTTTTGAACCATCTCTTAGTAAATTTGAAAAGGCCTCCGCCTACTTCTTACAACTATAGGTTCCCCAAAAGATTCAATAAAAGACCACTACGTGAATTCTAGATATGTTTGTTAATATAAGAACGAAATAATTTGTAAGAGGAAGTACTCTTTCATTAGAGATGCTGGGAGATTTATTTCACTTCCGATCTATCTGAAGTAAGTTTCTTCTTGTCTTTCTTTCCTCTCTGCTTTTTCTTATCCTGTTATTCATTACTTGATCTCAGAGTTAACTGCAGTTTCGTAAGTATTTCGTAAGCATATTACTTGAGAAACATCATACCAACAGCCAGGTTTCTAGGAGATGAGCTCAATGTTTATTTTTACAATTGCCTTATACTTGGATATTAGATTTTAAAAGACAGCATGGAACAGTATCATCAAAATCTGACATGTTCTAAAGAGAAAATATATTAACGAAACCTTTATAGTAAAAGATTCAAATGTTCAGAAGACAGGAAAATAGTTGCCTGTACAATCTCAACTTGCAACCTACAGAATTCATGTGGTATAATAGTTATATACCTGTTACCTATCCTATAGCCAAGGTTTAAGACTGGTTAATGAATAGGATGGGCTGTGAGCACTAAATGCTCATCATTTAGATTTTTATCTCTACATCACGTGATCCTTCTCTTCAGTTGAGACTTAGAAAATCTACATAGTTATCAATAGAAAATTTCACTTCACTATCATTTGTTGACCAAACACTGAGCTGGTGAGGACCTGCTTAATCTTTACTGATGTGACTGACCTTCAGTAACCCAATTCCCAAAGGGCACAGAGGAACAGAAGAACGATGGCAAGTACCACATGGCACAATGATGGTCTATTTTGCCTTAAAAAAAAAAAAAGACCCTCTGGCAAAACCGATGAATACCTAAGCCCCCTAGTTTAGCTGCGTTTCTCGCTATAGCCCACAATATCCCCCAGTACCTTTCTCTTTGTCAACTCTTATGACCACTACGCATTCGTTCCTCCCGATGCGGATGAGTTTGTTGATGGAACGAATACGTCTTCTGGACAGCTCGCTGAGCAGGATCATGCCTTCAATGTTGTTGTACTCCAGCAGGCTGACGTAGGCTCCCATTTCAGCAATGGACCTAACATTGACCATCACTACATCTTCCACCTCTGGAAATTTATGCTGGTAGAATCTACAGCTTAGTCCTGGCATTCTGGAATTTGAGCAGAAAGAAACAAAGATTCTACTTCGCAGTACATCACTGCCTTCTCCTATAAACATGGTAAAAAAATCAGCAAGGACTGGTGAGGATAGAGAGGAATGCTAGCGCAAGAAATTGCAATTAAGATAAGGCTTGTGCAATTCATACTGAAGTTTTAATAGAAATAAAACAAAAAATTAACTAGTATTTTAGTATTATCACAACCATTTGCTAGGATGCTAATTTTTTGCACTGAAGTAGAAACAGCTTGCTACCCAGACTTTATTATCCACTGTAACTGTCATACCACCTATACACAGCACGCTGTAGCGAAGAGACTTCAAGTAGTGAAGAAGCAGCACTGCACACCTTGCATTCATCTAAATTCATGAGGCTGTGCAAAATTTTAAAACAGATTTTAACAACAGGAGGACATGGGAGAGAAGAAGCCTGCAGCGCTCACAAAGGTACTTCTGTGCACACAGTAAGACAGCATGTGAGAGGCTGAGAAAATAAGAGGCAGTGAAGCTTCTGTAGTACTGAGAAGAAGCAGACTCTATGCTCCAGAAGATGACTTTCTAAACTCAGCCCAAGATATAATAATCCTGTAAGACCTGCTCCAGAGGCCACCTGTCAGCAGAAAAAGCAAAAGTAATAATCAGAACAGAAGGTAGAACTAGCCTGACACGAATGAAGCACTAAAAAGGAAAAAAAGTACTCCCCAATGTATTCTGAGTCAGGATGAAAAAAAACCCTGAAAACCAAAACAGGATTCTTTTTTTACACATTTAAAGTACAAAATGAACGCTTCATAATCACGTAGTGAGCGGTAAGAAGGAATGCTTAAACCGCTTCATTTTCCTGATGATGAATCCACATGCTCGTCACTACTAAGCAGGTTAGTTCAATTCCTTTTGCCTATGCCTTGAAGTTTCCTACAGAAGTATAACCCCAAGATGCAGAGTCAAATGCATCACTCCTTCAGGTTTGCTGTATTCACCACCTTGAAGTTTTGGTCTCGATCTTTACAGCAGCGCTAATGCCTTCTAGCTATATGAGAATTTAAGAGTAAGGTGGTAACGCCAAGTGCTATGTACACAGCCACAAAATTCAGAAGACTCTGTCCACCCTTAACTCCATTCTTAACTTTCAGAAAGGGGAAATACAGATTAGTAAAGTATTATAAAAAACACTCCTCTAGTTTTGTATAACTTGAAGCTGAACAAACAACTCCAAGACTAAAAATAAAAACTTTACCGTTCGCTTTTCTAGTCCACTTAATGCAGTTCAGCTTAATCCTACATGTCTACTTATGAGATACATAATAAAGATATATTGCAAAGTAACAAGTCCCAACCACGGCAAGCAAGAATGGACAAACACCGCTCTGCACACAGAACATTTTACTCCTCTCTCCACAGAAACAACCTTTTTACTTCGGCCTTCTGTGGAAGACCCTCAGAAGCAAGCAGCGCTAGAAAGCATCTTTCCAAGACGTTAGAAACGCCTCAGCAAACGTTTAAGTCCCCACGGCTGCACAAATCTCTGCGGAAAATGGCAAAATGGAGTAACTTCCGACCAGCGACTCCTCCGGCCGCTGGAGCGCCGCTGACACGGCCGATGTCCAACGACAGCTAAG